TTTATTTCTTAATAAAGATTGAAGATTTCTTCTATTATATATGTTACATATTTTAGTGGTCTAACTGCTACAACACTAATTTGTAAGTGTATAGTTTGGCAATAATATCATTGTGGCATTTATCTTCAATGATGTGAGTTTTGTAGTCTTAGTTGACTAAAAGGGCTCCTAATCAACTAAGAGAGTATTTGAAAGTATATTGGATGTGTATTTGTATTTGATTTAAGTTACATAATTTATAATTAATTTACAGTATATGATGTATTATGTGTAACAATCTTTGTTTATATAACAAAATAAAGATTAGAGTATGTCACAAATATAATTTATTACATCTTAGACTTCTTCAACATTTAATCATTATTCTTCATGAATATTATTTCTAAAAAGAAAGATAATATTTCTATATTTATTTCCATAATTACCTAAATAATACGAGTAAATAAAAATAAATTAAAGTAAATAAATTTGATAATATCTTATAAAAAAGCTTCTCAAAAGCTTTATATATGTAACTTTATTTTTATACATATCTATAGATAATTAATAAATCTAAAACTTACTGACATTTTGCACATGTTGCTAACTTGTTATACGAATTGGACATTTGACATACATATTGAAAGCTTGTCTTATAAATTAGATATGTGACTTGTAAATTAGACAAGTATTGGAGGTCCTATAGAATGTTGTTTTATTGTAACACGACTATATGGTGAAAGTTAATAATATGAATCTTATTATAGAAGAGCCAAATTAAAAGATAAAGTAAAAAAATATGAATAAAAGATAGGAAGGTAGTAAAACTTTTAATAGTTATACTGCCTTTTTAAAAAAGTAGCTTCTATTTATTTTGTAAGGCCATAAACAAGGCAAAATAAGGTAAAATAGAAAAATAAAAGATATAGACATATGTAGGACTGAGTGAGGAGTTGGTTTTAGAAAAATTTATCTTAAAAGAGACAAAAATTGATATCCGGAGAAGACCGATTACCAACCAAGGTTGAAATCAGATCTTGAGGCACAAAATCAAGCCTCAATGACGATTTTGGAGTTCTTTTGTTGATCGGAGAGTGAGGTTGGAGGAAAGACTTAATAGGGTTTCTACAAGCATTGATTTTGGAGGATTTGAGTGGATAATAATCTTACAAGAACTTGCCAAAGTTGATATTTTTTTTAGTAACTTTGGTTTTTGGAAAATAAAATAAGGTTGACGTTTTGGGCAATTTCAAGAGTTTTGTAATAGATCTGCAAGTGCAATTTTCTAGGTTTGTGGGTGTTCTTGTGTTAGATGTATGTTATAAATTTAGATTTGATCAAATAGTTAGATAGAAAAGCATAAAATTTTTTGTGGGTTATAGTCTCAAAATTCAAGGTTTTTAGGATGAATGAGGATTTTTAAGATATCTGTCAATCTGTTTGTTAGATTGAAGTAAAGATTTTCACAAAAGTAGTTAGCTTGATTTGTAATAAGTATGTAAATTTTGGAAGCAAAATAATGGTTCAATCAGGAGTGATTGGCTCTGGAAGATTGGCATCAAGGTCGAAGAAAGAGGCCGACCGACACTCAAGCATATTTTTGAGGTTATTGTCTATTTGATAATTTTGATCAATTTTTTTTTTTTTCTTATTTTTAACTTAATTAGTGAATAATGTATAAAATTTGAGTTGAAATCAGCAATTCAAACATTAGTTATTGAATTTCAAACTTTGTGGTAAGATTGTTAGAAATTTGTTTGAGATTTAAAAAATTGATTAGGATTTGATTTGAATTAGGATTTAGTTAGGAATTAGGGTTTGGTTAGGATTAGGATTTGATTTGATTTAGGATTGGTTTAGATTTCTTTAGGGTTGCTTTAAGATTCTTTAAGGTTCTTTAGAATTTTTTTAAGATTTTTTTAGGATTTTTTTAGGATTTTTTTAGGATTCTTTAGGATTTCTTTAGGATTTCTTTAGTTTTTTTTAGGATTTCCTTTTATTTTTTTAAATTTATTTCAAAAATAAAGATAAAAATAAAAATAAAAAATAATAATAATAATTGGACTTAATTGATGCTTGATTATGTTTGTTAAGCTTTTATAGCAATTTATATACAACTTTATTATAGTGGTTAGGACTTGTTGCAAATTCCTTTTATCTTCCACAACAAAGTGCCCAACGTATTCTCAAGTAAGATTTCACGTAATATGACAATGTTGCTAAGAATTCCTATTTAGATAGTATATATAAAGGCAAGAATAATGCCTTCTCATTTTCTTTCTTGCTTCTAGTCTAGTTTGATGAATCTTTGGTTTTTTTGTTTTTTTATTAATAAGCATTCGAATTTCTTCTTGAATAATCATATTTTTTTTTTTTTTTTGATATCTTTCTTTGAGAAATGTCTCACTTATTTATTTACATTCATCAAGTTCTTTTCTTTGACAATAAGTCCAAAAATAATAAAGTTATTCAAAAGTATCAATTATTTTTTTATTACTTATATTTAAGAAATATATCTCGTTAGGTCTATGTTTGTGTTATAATATCAATAGATATAGATACACTCAATGTAGATAATATCACTCTTTCACCCCGCAAAATCAAATAAATAAGCCACCTGTGCAAGATTTGTTCTTATAGTTAAACAAAATTGATCTTAAAGATATGATTATTTGTAAAAAGTATTACAAGAAGAATTACAACTGCCATACTTGTAATTTTTACCATTAATAATGAAAAAAAATAATAATTATAAAGTAGTTTTTCTACAGAAGGCCCTACTATCAAAAATCCTTGTACAAAGCACTATCTTTTGACCCTATCTATTGATTAATCAACAAAGTTGCCATAAGAAGGACTAATGCCTTCTTAATCCTTTGACCCTATCTATTGATGAATTAATAAAGTTGCCATAAGAGGGACTAATGCCTTCTTAATCCTGCCATTTCTCTTTCTTAAATTTGTTAGTGGTATTATTTTCTTATTCACAATTATTTTAATTTTGTGTCCCTATTTTTAAATACTTCTAGATTTTTTCCATTATTCATAAATTTTTCTCCAAATAAATATATTTTTTATAATAAAAAATACTTTTATAATAAAAAATAATTTTATAATTTATAGTCATATTTTTAAAATTTAAATATTTTTATTTAATTTTTCTAATTAGTTTTTAACTATACATTTGGTTTTAAGAAATATTTTTAATAACTTATATTTATTTAAAATTTTATTATAACTTTTGAAGATTTGAAATATTAATATGTTATTAGAATAAAAATGTGACTTTAATTTAATTATAATTTTGTTTAATAAATTATTTATATTTAATATTATTAAAATTTATTTTCTTTGATATATATAAATTTTTATAAATTTTTTTTTAAAATGTTAGAATTTTTAATTTTTAATTTTTATTGATACTAGTCTTTTAAAGTAATTAAAAAATCTTTAACAACTTTATCTATTTTTTGGATTGATAAAAAAAACTTATTATTTAGAAGTCTTTATATTTAAAATTTTATTTTAGAAAGATAAGAAAATATATATATATATATATATATATATATATAGCTAGTACTATGTAATTTATTTATAAATAAATTTTAGAAAATTTCAACAAATATTTCACATGTTTGCATATGCCTTTCTACTAGGATTGGAATTTAGAGCAAAGCAAACCATAAGCCACGGAAGCCTTAACAAGGAAGGGATAAGGCAAGGTCTAATAGAATCTCATTGTAAAAAAGGATAAAACTTGGTTTTTGCAAAACCAGTCTTTTGTATTATTAATTGAATTTGAATCCAATACCATCGAAATACTACTAGTATTTTTTGCCTTCTTTATGCATTATCATTGGTACCAACCTTCTTACTTGATAATATTAACAATGAATCTCATTTTTTTTTATATTAATCTATGTTGTACATTGTATAGTGCTTGTTCATTGCAACAATCAAGACAAAATAGAAATTCGTTCTAATAATTAATTTGCAAGTATGAAATAAAAATAGGGTGGTACTAGTTTGAGACTTTTTTTTATCTAAGCACTTAAAAAGACAAAAGTTCAAAATTCTTATCAATATCTTCCATTTGATAAAAATATCTCATATTTTAGAAGCTTTGGCCTATAGATATAGAATAAATGTAAGACAAGACTATTAAAAATATCAAATCATTTTTTATTATAATTCTAGTATAAAAATTCATATTTGATTAAAAAAATTATGTAAATTATAAAAAATATTTTCTAATTATTTATAAGTTATTTTAAAAAATTTAACAAGGATTTCAATTTTATCTTAAAACCACCTCTTGTAATAAATCTAATGCAAATTTTATAAAAATATTATTATGAATATCATATCATATATATACATATATATATATATATATATATATAGATTCTACAACATTTTTTTTACTTAATGCTATTGAGCTAATTTTATTAAGTAAAAAGGCAATTAAGTGAAGCCTCTAAGTTTCAATCAATCAAAGAACTTAAAATTTGTGGTCTCTTACTTTGTCCTCTAAGTATAAAACCCCCTTTAACATGAAACTCTTCTAACTTTGTCCTCTAAGTATAAAATCCCCTTTAACATGAAACTCTTCTAAGGGCTATTAAAATTACTCATATGTTCAAGCTTTTAAAACAATTCAAGATTAGAATTCCTAAACAATATTTACAAACCATTAAATTTGTCTACAATATTATATGAGGCTTCTCAAATTTATATTTATAAGGCTTCTCAATTTCAACCAGTACTTGTGACATGCTTGTAGTTTTGTCTTCAACCAAGTTATGGACCAAGTTATGGGCTTCTAATCGTGGACACATATTTCTACTGCCAGAGCAAGTGCTGTAAGCACATGGTCACTTCTAGACGATTGGGTTGCAGTGATCACGAAGCAGAAAAGTCTTCACCTTATGCAACGTTTCTCAGACGGTGTAAATTCGATCTCGGCAGGTGAATACTAAAAAGCAAATTGAAAGCAGTAAATGAAATGACAGGAACTCAGGTGGTCAAGATTCGCCGTCTGTTGGTAACAAATCCGTCCGGGATCCACACCTCAAGGATGCGTCCCATGGATGGATCTCTTAGATTACATAAATGTGCCCACAATAGTTCTACATCATGATTACAGGAGCTCAGAAAACACTCACAATAGGAATGCTAATCTTTCACAAAAGAAAATCAGAACCCAAACCAGCAAAAAAAAGCAATGAGACGATGAATAACACTGCTACACATATCAAACCCAGTCTAGATTGGCATCTGATCATTGTCAGTCCGCTTTTGACCATTGATAGTGTGCATCTGCAGATGGTGCTCCGAATTGTCATGGTGGATGTACGCCGTTCCTCCGTGCCTTGTCACGTCCATGCCCGCAATCTCGTCTTGGGGTGTGATCCGCAGCAACCGGAACTTGTGAAGCCCATAGAACAACGGACCCATCGTCACCGTCACCCATGCGGCAATGCTGATGATCTCGATGATTTGGGCCGCAAGCAGCTTGCCACCGCCTCCCATGAACAAGCCATACGGGCTGTCGAAAGTGGTCTGGTACACCTGGTTCACGTAATTCTTCTCAGCGAACAGACCCACGAACAGCAGACCCCACGCTCCGCAACCACCATGAAGCTGGGCAGCTTCCAGAGGATCGTCAAAGTGCAACCGGGCTGCAAACGTACAAAGCACAACCCACAGCGTCGCATTGTGTCAGACCATATGTCACCGCTCAGGTCAGAGATTGTGAAAGCGCAGTAACCCCCAACATCAAACACCTTCATTGTCTAATTCCATCAAATTGACCATAAACATTCGATTGTCCATGTGCACCCACACCTACACACCTACACACACACACACACACCGGAACTGACACGCCAACCATTCAACCACACGCACGACCATCGACTCTGTTGCAGATTGAAAACTGCTCACCACGCTACAACCATTTCCTTCTCAGCTCAACCCACCCCCTACTTCATCCACCCCTACCCAACCTCTACACCGCACACAACTGCTTCCCAGCACATCCATCAACCACAACATAACAGGCTCTCCCCTAAAACCGGCACTTCCACATCCCAAGCTGGGCATACCGGCGAGCTTGTTCAACCCGATCAACACCCACGCAGACCCGAACCCGCACAGGATACTCGCCCATGGAGCCACCACGGAGCACGACGCAGTGATCGCCGCGAACCCGCCCAGCAGCCCGTTGCACACATCCAGCACGTTCCAGTGCCCGTCCAGAAACCTCTTTCCGAACAGCGTCGTCACGGCCGCGGTACATCCTGCTAACGTCGTCGTCACCGCGGTCCTGCCCACGCCAGACCAGTGGCCCTTTACCCCCTCGTATGGCTGCAATATCGTCAGGAAGCTACCGGGGTTGAACCCGTACCATCCGAACCACAACAGGAACGTTCCCAACACCACCAACGTCGCGCTGTGGCCACGGAAATTGGTGGAGTTCCCAGACTTGTCGAACCGCCCAATGCGAGGTCCCTCAATCAGGGCGCCCCAGAATCCAGCAACGCCCCCCACCATGTGCACCACACCGCTTCCCGCAAAGTCGATCGCACCGCTGCCGAACAGAAGTCCACCAGGACCGACAGTTTTGGAAGCCGACAGCCATCCATCCGCCGACCACAGCCAGTGAGACACAATCGGGTACACGAATCCCGTCAGGAACGACGAATACACCAGGTACGCCACGAACTGCGTCCGCTCCGCAATCGACCCGGATGTGATACCGGCAGCCGCAATTGCGAACGCCCACTGAAACAGAAAGAAGCTGTAATCGAAGGTGCCGTTGGGAAATCCGTTCAGGCCCCAGTTGAAGTGGCCGATGAAGCCGTTGGTCTTGCCTCCCAACCCGAATGCGAAGGCAAATCCGAACACGTAGTAGGAAATGCCACCGCAAGCAGCATCCAGGACGTTGGTGAGCATGATGTTCATGGTGTTTTTAGCTCGCACGGAACCGGCGCACAGCATGGCGAAGCCCAGCTGCATGGCAAACACCAAGTAAGCGGAGAATAGGAGATACGTATTGTCCACCGCCAGCTTGGTGTAGCCGAGGCGCCCATCGATGTTGTCGAGCTTGTCGCACAGAAAAATGCTCAACCCGGTGGCGTTCGACACTGCACCCAGGAACCCCTGGATCCTTTCCATATCGCCATCTTGACACGCAAAAGTCGTCATCGTTAAGCCCCCTTGCACGTTCAGGCAGCGACTCCTTGTTCACTTCCTGTAGTTGTATATGCACTGTTTCACGAAGTACTCTCCCCCGTCATACAAGTCGCTCTGAGCGCAACATGGCCGGTGGCATTGTTGAATGCTGCTCATCATCCTGCATTTTCGGAATCAGAATCACAGCCATTGCATAAAAAGCGTAATTCGGGGGTGCTCTCACACGGATTGTGGAGTTGACAAACTGCAACTGGTGCAGGCTTGGATACGAGTCGGCAACTTCATCTCGTATCAAGGGGAGTGAGTCTGTGGGACTGGGAAAGTTTGTTGTCGCTTTACCACGGACGTGGGGATCCTTTTTTCGTCGGTGATGCGGACGAGAACTTGGTCCAGTTCGAAGCCCAACCGTTCGTCCTTGTGGATGAATGCTGTAGTCCTTTGTTCTCATGGCATTGACGTTTAGGTGTTTTGTGGCAAGTTGTGGTATTTTGTGCAAAGTTTTTGTGTGTAGCAACTATAATTAAGTGTGCATTTTTAGGAGAATAAGTGTATTCCAGTAAATTTTCTGATTAATTTGTGTTGTAGAAAAATTTGTGTCACTGAAAAGGTGATTCATGACGTAACTGTTGATAAGCAATTGTAAGAGTTATAATATTATATATATATATATATACATAAATGTCAATTAACATGTTCCCTCCAAACTATACACTTAAATACATGGACAAACCCGAATGAAATCTTGATTTAATCCAAATTACCCCAGACCTCAACTCAGACTGTTAAAAGAAACCATGCTCATCACATCTCACAACATAAATAGACGAACTTGCATATGTTCATGCCCAACTTATGCATGGTATCCATTTAGACTGGGTAACATTTGTCCAGTAAAATCTTAAGTAGAAAATAGAAACTGATTGAGAAGTTGGCAGTTATAAACTGGCAGTTATGGGAATATAGACAACAGAAATTGTGGAGATCCGGATTCGGGGTGGATGGTGAGAACTGATGGAGCCTTTTTGTTCGTGACCGGTAACACTGTTATCTAGCCCTGGCAGCATTATTCCAGCTCAATCTTTTGTCTCGATAGTCTCCTCCATGAAAAATTCCTTCACACATTTCGGGAGGAGTTTCTGGTCCTTGGGGTGTAAAACTGGCTTCTGTCTCAAGGAATGTTGAACTCACTCGTGATTCAGCAGGGAAATCCTCCTATGAACGAAGGAGATCTTTGTAAACTTGTTCTGTAAACACGAGCACACCACACAGAAACTGCTGTGCCCAGAGTTGCCGCATATCACGTCTAGTTGTGACTACAAAGGTTTCGTGCTGTGCGAAAGGAGAATAGGTGGTTTATTACGAGTTGCTTTCTCACCGGCAGAATTGTTGACCTAGAAATGTTATGGTGGGACATGGTGTTATACCACACCTGTCGATCCGCAACTCTTGGCTTATTGGGGATTAAAGGCTTGAGAGATGCGGCCACTATTTTCGACAAAGTACCTGTTAGTATGTCACCGGCGCATGGATTGTAACAACTGTCATGAGAGGTAGAGAAAACCAATCAGGTGGCCAGGCACAGTAAGCATTGCCCTCATGCAGGCTGATTATAGCATGAAGGGTGCCTCCAGGGGGTGGAAGCTACGTGCAGCCTGATTCTGATCGTGATTCAAGGCAGGTCGGACCCACAAGTCTCCTCCTTACATTCAACACTGTGCAACATCCTCTCTCTTGTCCAAGGTCTCCTGGCTCATCAGCCTTCGCTGGCTTTTACCTCGCCTCCGACTATGCTACAGTCGAACTAGTCTCCTGTGAATACATGAGAAGAGGAGGTATAATCTGTGAGCTTCAAGGGACAGGACCCACAAGATTTGAGACGCTTGATTGTCTGGATGAAGAGCGACAGATTGTGAAAACCCGCTGATATGATAAGTTTAGAGAATTGACCGGATTTTCTTCATGCTGAATATCTTCCAAACAATCCATTTTCGTTCTGATCCCAGAAACTAAGCCCCGAAACAAGACCTATCTCCAGATTATGGAGCTCTTCATCAACATTAGTATTCCATACCGGACCATCAGGATTCGGCACTGGGCCATTCAAGTGGTTGTTTCGACGACGATGCAAGCATCATCTGATGATTTTCAACGTTGTGTGAGTGTTGTGTAGACCTTTTATGATTTGATAGTTGAAAGCATGAGCACCAGATAGACATTCAACATCGGCTTTGGTTTCATAATCGACAAACAATTCACCGAAGCAATACTGATGGGGTTGGATTCATATCTATCTTCATATAATCTTTTAAATTGGCCTAAAAATGTGGAACTTTCAGACATTGAGTGCTGGAAATATGTAATTTAGGAAATATGAACATTTAGACGAGTTCTCTCATTATTTCAAGGACTGATTATTGTTACCAAGTTTGCATAGTCAGTGTATCATAATAACGTGAGTTAGGGAAAATTTTGCTTAGTTTAGTTTAGTTGTTGGATACCTTTACAATAGTCATGATGCTCTTTTTTAAAAAGCTTAATATTCAGAAAATCTTTTGTAAGAAAACCTAGTAAAAGGACAGAAAAAAAGAGGTTCTCAAGACCAATGATGGCATCAATTTCATTTTATTTTATTCTAAATTACTTTTCATTTAAATCGTTTATTTCAGAGGAAAGGAAAACAAATCTGAAAAAATCAATAAAAAACACTCATGTATGTTGCATTGTCCTTTTCTGACAGAGGATTTTATTGCTAATTAGTAGAGCATTTAATAGGTTAAGTTAAAAAAATATGTGCTTAATGCTGTGGAAAGTTGCTCATTAGGCCAAGGTAACATGTGACACTCCTGGAATGTGTTAATAAAGTTATCAAATTGCTTAAGAATAATATTCAAAAATGAGATACAAATATATTGCAAGATAGCTACTTTAAAAAAAAAAATCAAATTTAAACATATTTGGTGCATCACATATAAAATTATTAGTTTGAAGACAAAAGAAATCTTAATCAAATATATTTAATTTATAAATAAAAAAACATTATAAAATAAAAACTTTTGGTCTTTTAGTCTAAATTCTATTTCTTTATTGCTGTTTTATTCTTTCTAATACAAAAACTTCTAATATTCATAAGAAATTTATTTTAATTTTTTTATAAGATAATTTAAGAAAATCGCCCTCCATTTGTGGTTAATTTCGATGTAAAAGTTTTTTCTTTAGACTCACAAGGATTAGTTAAAAAAAATGATATTACTTAATAATATCAAAAAAATTCCAATATCACCAAATGAATATCTTATTACAATTAAAATAGACAAAATATATTTTATTTTTTTACTTTACTCAATTTTATTTCAGTCTAAAAAACTTATCTTATGCATTTTAAATATAAAATATTTTTACTTTAATAAAATTTAAAATAAATTATTACAAAAAAATCTCTATAAGATAAATATTTAACATATAACAAAACTTTGTAAGGTCACATCTACACAAGAAATATATAAGCAAATATCAAATAAAATAGAATGAATAAAACTTATAATCTACTAGACAAATAATCAAATAAAATGCTAATCAATCACTATTACTTTATCTTAAAGCTACCAATATAGTTTTCACAATAATAAAAGAATGTCACTTTATCTTATTTACATAACAAACTACCTAAACTTTATGTATATTTAGAAAATTATTAAATCAATACATCCATCATTACAAATCAATACATAGATTCTTAAGCTCCTCTTCATCATCATATCCATCATAAAAAATTAGATTGATACAATCATGATTATTAAGGCACAGAAATTATACAATTATGGAGACATGAATAGTAATAATATTTTATAATTAATAGGTACACTAAAAAATAACAATATTCTACAATGTCTTTATAATCATAATTTTGCCTTATATACCATTGCTTTGAACTTCTCTAACCTTTTACCTACTTGCCTTTCTCTAATAGAAATATCATCTTACAATAGTTTAATGCTTTGCTTACTTTCTAGAAAATGAGAGAAAAAGTATTATCTATTTTGAGATACTTCTATCCTAAAATAAAAAACTTTCTCAACATGCATCTTCTACTAGAGAAATTTTGACACATTCAAAGTTATAAAATAAGCCTAGATAGATTTATCTATGCCTATGGATATTATGATTGTAAACAATGCTCTAATAGTTGTTGTATAGTCTTCAAATGTGACAAGAATTAGACCTAAAGTAGACCAAATAAAAACTTAATTTATCACAATATTATTATGATTTTATTTCTTTGAAAAAAATTAGCCATTCTTTTGTTGGATGTTAATAGAACTTGTTCAATTGTATGGGAGTCTTTGATTCTTCACTATTGGTGTTGAAAAAGATTTGGCACTAATAAATGTTATTAATGATATATTTTCTACATTAATTATATTACTTTATATTTGGTAAATTTTTTAAAAAAATCCTTAGATTAATAAAACCTCTTGCAATACTCCTTGTTTAGAAGCATTCATAATTATAATTGATCTTCCATGTCAACAATAAATTTGGAGCATTTAGCACAATAGTAAAATTTTGGTGGACTATGATTTGTATTGTCAATTTTACTTGATGAATATGCTTCTTTTAATAGTTGAATTGACATTACGGAGGTTTATTACTTTGGTTGATCTAAATCTTATCTGTGATGTAATTTGCAATACATATGAACTACTCGCATCCTACCAATAGCAAAAGATATGCAAATAATTTTTGAAGTTAAAATCAATCACCATGACATTGGAGAATACATGGGTCAGTCATCTAGAAGATTATTTGCACAACACATTAAATTGATCAAGTCAATCTTGTGCACATGTGTAAGGTTCTATATAATTTTTTATTTTTTATTATTTTTAAAAAAAATTTCAAAGCCACAGCTATAAATATGAGTCTTTATAGAAATTGCAAAGAAATTGGATATATTATATGAACTTATTATTTTCTCAATATTTTTACTTTGTAAGCTTTTATAATTATATTGTAGATGAATTTGGATT